ACCACCTACTTTCAAGGACATCATTCAGATGGCTGGGGAGATTGCTGACGGCATGTCCTACCTGGCTGCCAAGAAGTTTGTGCACCGTGATCTGGCCTGCCGCAACTGTATGGTGGCACAGGACCGAACTGTCAAGATTGGAGGTCAGAATGATAACAATATTAATTTTGTAAAGATATTAAGGATAGGATAAAAGAGTTGTTTGAATTTCTTGTGATCAATCCCAGATCTGTGCAGAATAGCATGTTTGCAACTTGTGTGTAACTGCTGTTGTCTCAAAAATGGTGTATATCTTCACTAGCTTCTTACATCTTCACCACCCAGTCACTAGCTGTGCCAAATAATCTACTAGTGAGGCTTCAAATTCTCCTGGGTCACAGCACTTAACTTTGCAACGCTTTGTGGCTTAATATAGCATCTCTTGTCTGCATAAGCTGATCCAATTACAGCCATTATGCTGAAATTAACCAGACAGTGTCTAGGTTGTTTAAGAAATGAGGTACTTTTGGCAATGCTTCAACAATGGCAGTAGAAGGGCAAGGCCTTCTGTGATTTCATCAAGTTACCCCGTAACCAATCTGGAATCGGTAACCAAACAGCTAGTTCAGTGTACTAAAGGTTAAATCTTATCATGGCTGTAAATCATTACTGTCTTTTATTCATTGTGGTGTGTTGCCTTGCAGACTTTGGCATGACCAGGGATATCTACGAGACGGATTACTACAGAAAAGGAGGAAAAGGTGAGTGGCATGTAAAATTCATTTGTTACTGTCGGATTCCCCTTTCTAAAAACGAGGTTAATCTTACTGATAAGAAGCTGTAATCACTAGAGTGCCTCCATTGTTGACACTTGTCCATTTCCGCAGGACTGCTCCCTGTGAGATGGATGTCGCCAGAGTCTCTCAAAGACGGCGTTTTCACCAGCCAGTCTGATGTCTGGTAAGCCCTGCTTAGTATTAGGAGTTCAGCAGCTACAGTACAGCTACATCATGAGAAATGCAAAGATTTCTGTTGTGATGGAATCTGTTATCTATTAAACAGATTGACAAAAGACCAATCTGCTGTTGTAAATGTATTACTTTGGAGAATTACTGTGTAGCATTGTAAGGATAAATGTTGTTCAAAAGATGTGATTGGCATGAAAAATGATTTTTAGATTGCTTGTTGGTTCTGTGTAGTTGTTTGGTAAGCATGTTATTTTCTCCCTCTTGCAGGTCCTATGGCGTTGTTCTGTGGGAAATGGCAACCCTTGCCTCTCAGCCGTACCAAGGCAAGTCCAATGAAGAGGTTCTGAAGTTTGTTATTGACGGTGGAATGCTGGAGAAGCCAGAGGGATGCCCCAACAAACTGTAAGTTAACATCCTTCAAATGGCAATCATTCTGTTAGTAGTGTCGTCTGTATACTGATGCTACTTCATTTGTGTTCGCTTCAGAGCTTTGATGTTTAAGTTTTCATTGTTACTCCTGACCAAAATCTATGTTGCCTGTTATTATTTACCTTTTTTGTGTATTTACTTGACTGCGCAAGGAAAGTTGCATTTAGTCGGTTTGTCGTTTTCAGGGAATGTTGGCTTTTCAAATCTTATGTGATTGCATGTACTACCTGTTATGAAGACAATTCAATGGCCGGCACATGTATATTTGATAAACATCCATGTAGAAGTGGTCATACTAACCTGTGCCCTGCTGTTTTACAGGTACGACCTGATGAAGCTGTGCTGGCAGTACCGTCAAAGCATGCGCCCGACATTCCTGGAGATTGTTGAGATCTTGTCGCCCGAGCTTCAGCCCCACTTTGCTGAGGTGTCGTTCTACCACAGCCTGGACAACCACGGCCGCGAGCCGCTGGAAATGGACGACGTGGCGCTGGACTCGGGGGCGGACACCGAGACGGAGATGTACCCCAGTGGAAGCGAGTTCTCCTCCACCCCCTCACCCCCCTGTGAGACCCCCTACTCCCACATGAATGGATCTCACCCACAAAACGGATCCATGAACCTCAGAATACCCAAATCCACCCTCTGCTAAGCAGACATTCACTTATCCCTGCTGTATCCACAATGCAATTCAGGAGAATTATACAGATGTATTGTGTATATATATATTTGAAGAGAGTAATATAATTTTGAGGCAGCAAGCTATTTTTTAGTACAAGCTGTGTAAAATCTATTCAGTAGCATCGGAACAAATCAGAAGCAATCCTGAAATGCCAAGAGAACATGTACTTACAAATCCAATGCCAGGAATCCTGATTACTACTTTACCTCAATGTTAGACACACTGCCTTTGCAATTTCTGCCACCTGTCCTGACCAGTAGCACCATTGACACAGTTGTTACAGTGTAACAAAAACAAAAAAAATCACCCTGCCATGTATCTACCTCAATGTGCTACGTGCAATGTAATCAGAGCCAACAAAGCTTTCTAAGATGCTTGCTAGCAATCACCTACAGTTTACACCTGACAAGCATGACCTATGACATACATGTACACTGTGGAAATAGCACTTGTTCTTGGCAGGGATTGACTTATTAAAAAAACAAAAAAAGAGGAAATGAAAAGTACTAATTGCAGGCACTTAACATACCTGCTCTGCATTTCTTATTGGCAGCTATTTTTGGCCAAAGGTTGTGTACAACCAAAGCTTGCGTACAACCAAAGCTTGCATTCAGATAGACAATACAAATCACAGGGATACCATAGAAGTCATTTGCCATTTCTTACACATTCTTAAGACTTGGGTCTGCTCTAATAGTGTTGTTTGATTGGTCCTGTCAAAGAATGATGTCTGTGGGCAACCAAGCCAGCATGGAGGTAGATTTTTTAAGTTGTGCCAAATTACCCATGGTTCCTTGCTACAGACTCATGTCTTCAGATTGTTTCTAACAATGCTTGGCATTTTGTGAGATATTATCAGTGTATATTATTTTATTTCTTTTTTCTTTTCTTTTTAGTCATGACACCTCTGTGCCACTGGGGTATATGATATTTTCTGGCACCTTGGTAGATGTTTTATTGAATCCAAACAGATGAGCAAGCAGCTTCCAATGCAAATGGTCAGTTTCATAGCAAAATGGAAAAACTGCTTTCTTGTGGAGGGTCCGTATGGGGAGTTTGGAGTATTCTGACGTCCAGGAGTTTTGAGGCGTAAATGTGGGGGAGATGTGAGTACACGTGGGATGGGGCGCTGGCCGCACGCAGCCACGATGTTAAGATGTAAAAGTTTCTCATATGGAGTGTGGCTGCCGTGTGACAGCCGGCTCGTCAGATGTATGTTTCCATTGTACTGATTTCATGTGACGTTTGATGAAGTTGGGAGATTATTTTTTCTTCTGTATATAAATGTGAGAATAAGTCAGAGCCTAATGAAGGATTATTTTCATAATCTGTTAGTTTTGAGTTTTCTATTTAATCCAGATGCACGAAAGGCTGTAGACAGTTGTACTAACTCCAGAAGAACTCAATGTTGGAAGGAAGTCCAACACTTGTATAATTAAAGAAGTATGTTTCAGAAGAAATTGTAGTGTAAATAATGTGTGCAAAATGAAGCTCTCTTTCTGAAATATTTGTTGCTCTATGGATTAGAGATGTTGAACACAGTAGGTACAACTCCTCTGTACTTATTATAGACATGTGCTACCTCTGGTAATGAAGGCCTTTGTAAACCTCAGTGTAAATTATATGATCAAACATGACGCAATGACAGAGCCTGTGTAATCAAATGGCATCTTCACTTAATATTTATTTTTAATATTATGAAGCCTTTGACAGAGAACAGATGTTAGCGATGATCAGAGATGCAAATTGTATAATATCTACTGTACAAAGTTTTCAAATTCCTGAATCTCAGTTGCAGAGGTAGCAACAAGATCTGTCCTCTCGCTCTATAGTACTCCTTGTTGCAGCCAATTCAAGCCATAAGCTTTGCACCTCTTTGTGTCTGCAAGTGTACCCACAATGCTGTGCCAAATACAATGCATGATGGGAAGTGATTTTGTGGTACAGTGGATCGTGCCATCTACCCCCATGGGGGTAGGACATCAGGAGGCAGACATGTACCTTTTCTGGTAAATAAGCTTATACCTTGCAGTGCCTAGTATTCTGTTGTAGAAACCAGTGTTGTGTGAAGTCTGTATTACAGGAAATGTCACCAGGGCATGGTTGGCCACTACTTGTATCCTGACTTAGGTAGTTTTCCAATGGCTCTCTGTATTACCCGGTAGATTTCTTGGATGACTTAATTCTAGCTGGGAAAGAAGCCCAGAAAGATAGATGAACAAAACAGATGTGTCTGTCTGATATACACTGCTTGTTGTACCTCTGTTCTTGTAAAAACATAATATTGCTATTATGTAGTAGATTCACAAAATTATATAACATTGAAGCTGTGCAAAGGTTTATTTCCTTGTGTCCAGACAACACATGTAAATAGATGACAATGAACTTGAGGGCAAGGTTATTTTTATCATGGAGAAAGAATTGTTGTCATATGAAGTTGTTTGATAGGATAAATGCTAGTGGCCAATCACTGGTGATATGATCTATTTTAAGTTGTACTGCTGTACTGACTCAGCACCAAATTAGGATTGCTATCTCTGTATATTGTGTTTGGTCTTACACACACACAACCTAGAGGTAAGATGTATATGGCACTGCAGACAAAATGTATATTTGATAAATAAGTTTGATTTTCCTGACTTCCAAGTTCTCTGCCTTTCCAATATTTCAACAAAATTCTGCAAAATAAAGTTTTATGCGTAAAGCACTTTGTGTTGTCATGACCTGTAAAACTCTATAAATACCTGAGCAGATTAGAAAATAGGGAGAGAAATGGAGACTGCTAGAACTGCCTGAGTAAAGGGGAAAAAACCATGTCTGAAGCACTGCTGTACCCTGTTATCTGCTTAGAGATTATCCTTAAGGTAGATTTTGCTTCACAGTATACCCCCTGCAATTTCCAAAAAGTCCAATAATGCTTCTGTGGCCATCTTCCCAACCATTGAGCCTGAACCATTGTGTTTTTGTGACAAATAGTACAGGAGTCTGAATACTATAGATACCTACAACTATAAGTGACCACCTCTGTATAAGAACCACTTCTCCACAAAAACTAAACCAGTGACCAGGGTGGTCTTGAGCTTTTTTGACATTCTTGAGCATTCCTGTCAGTGTTGAATAAGTTCACCAATGAAGAGCGACTCAGAATTGTACCAAACGATCTTTATTGAAATGAATAGCTGTGTGCTAAAACCAGGTGGGAGAGGGGGAGTGCTGGTGTCAGTGCTTCTTGGCCTTGCTGGAGATGCGGTACTTGCGGTTACTGCTATACCAGAGCATCAGGGGGATACCGATGGAGGGGAGGGTCATCACAGCAAACGCAGCCCAGTCAAGCTGTGGGGCAGACAGAAGTCACATTATCATCTTCATACTTAACAAATCCAAATTTGTTTTAAAAAGAGCACCACAAAAAACAGGAAAGGAGAGAACTCTACTTCAGAACATGTAGCCTAGAGGGTACATTACAATACAAAATGTATCTCCCCCACATTTGGCTTAAAATCTAATTTCTGACAGTGACTATTAACTGAATCTTATCTAGTTCTTACAATGTGAGGAGAGAATTTTCTGTCATAGTCCCTCTCCGGCATGATTCCGCCCTCTCCAGGCCCGCTGGTGTAGCCGATCTGCGGCTGGGCACCTTCTGAGGGCACATAGGACAGCTCAGCAGCAGTGAAGTTGAACTTGCCAGACTTCAGCGGTGTCAGGACAATGGAGTGGGTCACATTAGTGCCACTATTGTTGAAAGTCAAGGTCAAAACAACAAGACTCTTTCAAAACAACAATCTTCTTCCAATGAAATATACATATATGGTAAGCTGACTAACAAGAATGAAAACATCATTCATCATGACGTTTTCAAAATCATCCAGTTGCTTGAGTAACTGCTTTTTGGCGTATCGTATTACCTGGATGTCTAACCTTCATCGACGAAGAATGAAAACAACCTTTAACTAGAGTTCCACGATCTCATACCTTCGCCAAATGATGTTAGCCTTTATGAATAAGAAATATACTAATCACCCTGATTATGCAAATAGCATGAATTATATCAGTCTGTTGATCATATTCTCCACCAAAAGACAGTCTTATCTTAACAAAGAATGCCATTTTCTCATAAATTTTGCAAATGTGGTCCTTATTTGAATAAGTTATGTTTAATTATGTTCACCTTCACTTAACTTTCAAACACCCCAAGTATGAAATTCCAGGCAGTTACCACTACGCAATTATAACATTTTCTCATTAATTATGCAAATTAAGTCTTCATTTGCATAATCAATATTTGCCTGTGTTTCTCAACATATGTTACAAGCTTGAACTTCCTATCATGGAATGCAGCTGATTTATAGAATTTCCTCATTAACTATGCAAATTACATCAATATTCGCATAATTGTAATATCATTATGTCAAGCATCACTTAAGCTACCTATATACCAAAAATCACGATGATCCATCAATCGGTTCTTGAGTTATCCTCTTTTAAACATCTGTCCTTTAAACCCCCCTGCAGTTCTAGAGCAAGCCGCTAGGGGGCCTAAACTCACGTCACTTCTTCCCCAGCACAAGAGCTACCTACCATCCAAATTTCATCACCATAGCATGTCTGGATCTTGAGATATCAAAACCGGAAGTTCAGCTGCAGTACCATAACAAGCCGCTAGGGGGCCCAAAATCTAATCATTTTGAGGTCTCATCAAGACCTACCCATCTACCAAGTATCAAGACAATCCATCAAGGCCTTCTCAAGTTATCGTGTTGACAGACAGACACACACACACACACACACACACACATACACGAACGCCCCTGAAAACATAACCTTCTTGGCGAAGGTAACAACAACACTGGCATTACTTGGCATAGAAGTGTCCATTTGGCTGATGATGATGCATTGTTACTTATGTTACTTTTACAGCCTTTTCAATGATGATAAGGATACGGAGCGATTCTGGCCCAGTTCACTGTTGGCATTCCGTGTTTGACCTTGAAGTCTGATTCTGGGAAGCCCTCGTCAGTCAGCTGCACATTCAATGCCGCACTGCAAGTAAGAGACAACCACAAAATGCTTCAGAACCTTTCAAGTTGGAGGCAACATCTATGCACGACTTTTTACAAGCATTTACTAAAATGGTAAATTTGCAACCCTTTGCCCCTGCCATATGCCACAACAAACATAATATTGAGAATAGTATGGCAAATTAAGAACTT